CAGAAAATGGGGAGCAGCCGCATGCATCATGGACGTACGAGCGACGTCCATGACCATGCCAATGCGGCGCTCAGCAATCCCATTCTGCTGCGGTGAGTCCGGAAGCGTGAAGGTCTGACGGATGCCTCGCGCACGACAGTAGGCACTCAGGAGGCCAGAGGAGAACTCTCCGCCTCTGTCCGAGTGCAGACGCAAAACAGGGAAGTCAGAGCCAAAGCTCCTCCGAAGCTGGAGACGAGCTGCGCGGATCCAGTCGATCAACACCGCAGTGACCTCACCCTTGCTGCGCAAGGGGAAGACTGTGGTGTAACGCGAGTAGTCGTCAACCACCAGCAGGAAGTAGCGCTCCTGACCCTGTCCACGGACGCGGGCTGGGCCCCACACATCCATGTGAAGCGTTTGCAACGGGGCCTCTGTCGGAGGAAACTGGGAGGAGTGAGGGGCAGCACGCTGGCGCCCCTCGACACAGGGGACACAGGTGGGGCCAGGGCCCGGAGGGAGGGGAGGGAGAGACCGGGGAAGACCAGACACAAGGACTCGCGAGGCCATGCCTCTGAGCCGAAGCAGAGAGGGGTGGCCAAGGCGGTGGTGCCAGAGGAGGGTCTCGTGAGACAGACGACGGCACGAGCAGGGGGCAGACTCAGGACCAGACCTGGACGCTGCAGCAAACACCTGACCAGACGAAGTGACCCTACCAGACTCAGCACCTGGAGGAGAAGCAGTGGTCAGAGTGTACATGCTCGACCCTGGCCGACGTGTAAACGTAGCCAGGTGGCGACCTGTATCCGCCTCCGTGCAGTGGGTCACCCGCTGACGAGCAGGGGTGAACTGGTGGACACCCGCATCCTGGAGGTCAGCACCACTCACCAAGTTCGTCGAGAACGAGGGGAGGTAAAGACCAGTCAGGGTGCCAGAGGGTGCCGCCGGACACGGGAGGACAGTGGAGAAGCGAGACAGGACAGGCCCCCCAGAGGGGTCAGCCAGGGACACCGCAACCGGCCGACTCAGCGGCGTGAGAGTGGTGCGGTCCCGAAAGAAGGAGCGAGACGCTCCAGAGTCAAGGGTGAAGGTGTGAGAGGCCGAAGCCGACACAGTACCTGAGAGGGCAGACTCACCAGCACCTGAGAGCACAGACGCACTGGCACCTAGAGCAGCAGCCTCACTAGTACCTGACACGGTAGTACCAATGCCCGGGTCGGGCGGGAAACACCGGTAACAGTCATCCTCATCACTACCAATCGCAGCATACATAGCAGAGAGAATAGCATCAAAATCAAGATCATAAATAGCTACACCAGCCCTAGACAGCTCTCCCCAGCGGGGGATCTCAGCTGCCTCCGGAAACTGCTGACGCCAGGCGTCAGTCAGGCGGCCAAAGCAGCGGCGGGCAGTGTGGGCGCCTCCACACCTCTCCCCTGCACGGTCACCGGTGCGGAGAACGTAGGGGCAAGGACCAAGCGCACCACCACGCTGACGCTGCGAGTACCACTCACGGAGCTGCTGAGGGGCGGGGACGGTGCGAGAGCGCTGCTGCTGCTGTGGCTGCTGCTGCGGCTGCTGCTGCTGCTGCTGCTGGCGCTGACCACCCCCGGAGCTGCTCCGCTGGGACGAGCCACTCCGACCCCCGCCTCCACTGCCACCCCCCCGCCTCCACCGCCACCCCCGTCTCCACCTCCACCTCCCCCACCAGGACCGTCGCTCCCACCGCTCCCACCGCCTCCTCCGCTACCACCTCCGCCGCCACCTCCGCCTCCACCGCCGCCACCAGTACCTCCACTCCCGCCACCACCCCCACCGCCACCCCCACTCCCCCCGCCACCCCCACCGCCTCCTCCACCGCCCCCTCTAGCTCCACCCGCTCCCTTGCCCCCCTTGCCCTTGCCAGCGCGGCGTCTGCCGCTGGGGGCAGACGCCGCGCCGACCGACTCAAAACCAGTGAGGTCGGCCGCAGCGGCAGAGGCGACAGAGGGCAGCAGGGGGGAAGGACCACACCCCTCAAAGATGGGGGTGCGAGGGTCACCCCGAGAGGCCCCTACAGCGACAATACTCTTCTCAGCCGCTAGCAGGGACTCCTCAAGGAGGTCGACAGTGAGAGTGGTGGGACAGACAGAGAGAAACTGGTCCCTAACGACACGAAGGGACTCAGGGAGACGGGTGACGAGAAAGTAGAGAGTGATGTACATGGGAGGAGGGTTCGCAGCGCGGAACTCAGCAGGAAGGGCAGCGCGGTAGCGGGTGTCACTAGCACGGAGGTGGGTAACGAGGTCAGCGACAGTGGGAAAGGAAGCGAGGTCAGGGAAGAGAAACGGTAGCATGAGGCGGCTAAGGGTAGCGGAGGAAGGGGAGGAGTAGCGTGCAACTACAGCGTCGTACAAGGCCTGAGCGGTCTTGCACTGACTAAAGTGGGCACGCTCAGAGGAAGGGAGGTGGCGACGCACAGCAAGACGTGCAGCAGCATCGCGGGTCGCCCACTTGGAGCGAACGGCAGAGTCAGCATCAGCAGGTGGGGCAGGGACAGCGCCAGAGACAAAGTCAAAGAGAGAGACCTCATCTATCGTATCACACAGTAAGTACAGCTGCAGGTCTTCAATCCAGACGGCAAATTCAATGGCCCTCCCCTCAGCGTCAAAGGTAAGAACATTGGGGGTGGCCATGACAGCAGCTGAAAATCTCACCGGGCTGGGAGAGGCGGGTAGGTCAGCAGCAGAGGAACAGCAGAACGGCTCCGCAGGCGGCTCGGGCGGCGCGGGCGGCTCGGGCGGCACGGGCGGCTCGGCGGCGGCTCGGGCGGCGGCTCGGTGGCGGCTCGGCGGCGACTCGGCGGCGGCTCGGCGGCGGCTCAGGCGGCGGCGGCTCGGCGGCGGCTCGGCTGCTGCTGGGCGGCGCGGGCGGCTCGGGCGTCACGGGCGGCTCGGCGGCGGCTCGGGCGGCACGGGCGGCTCGGCGGCGGCTCGGGCGGCGGCTCGGCGGCGGCTCGGCGGCAGCTCGGCGGCGGCTCGGCGGCGGCTCGGCGGCGGCTCGGCGGCGGCTCGGCGGTGGCTCAGGCGGCGGCGGCTGCTGCAGGGCGGATCGGCGGGGCCGCGTAGCAGAGTGGCGGCGGGGCCGCGACCGAAGAGAGCGGCGGGGCCGCGTAGCAGAGGGCGGCGGGGCCGCGTAGCAGAGGGCGGCGGGGCCGCGTAGCAGAGGGCGGCGGGGCCGCTACCGAAGAGAGCGGCGGGGCCGCGTAGCAGGGGGCGGCGGGGCCGCGTAGCAGAGGGCGGCGGGGCCGCGTAGCAGAGGGCGGCGGGGCCGCGATCGAAGGGCGGCGGGGCCGCGTAGCAGAGAGCGGCGGGGCCGCGTAGCAGAGAGCGGCGGGGCCGCGTAGCAGAGGGCGGCGGGGCCGCGTGGCAAAGGGCGGCGGGGCCGCGATCGAAGGGCGGCGGGGCCGCGTAGCAGAGGGCGGCGGGGCCGCGTATCAGAGGGCGGCGGGGCCGCGTAGCAGAGTGCGGCGGGGCCGCGAGGCAGAGGGCGGCGGGGCCGCGTGGGGAAGGGCGGCGCAACGGTCCGCTAGGGGCGACACGACGGGTCGCTAAAAAAAAAAAAACGCGCCTCGGGGCGCGGTTCGGTGGGCCCTAGAAGCAGTCCCTAGGAGGGAACCTGCTCTGATTCCATGTGGAAACAAAGAACGAGAATGGAATGACTATGAACGAAGTGAGTACAAATAGGAAACCCTAATTGGGTTGTACCCCCTATGGGATACCCCACTATAGCCTACAGAAACAAGTAAGCTATATGTTCTGACAATCTCAGCCACTAACCACTGGGATAAAAGGGCTTGTTAAGTAGCGGGTCAGTGCGCCCATAACCCCCCAGGCCAACGTGCCTGTAACCCTTCCCTAGGATCAATCGGGAATCTCCAGTGAACCTCTGACACCCCCCTGCACTGAGATGCCCGAGGTGCACACACTGGGATTCGAACCCGAGACCTTCGCTCTGATACCATGTCAAAATCCCAACCACTAGACCATTGGGATAAAAGGGCTTGTTAAGTAGCGGGTCAGTGCGCCCATAACCCCCCAGGCCAACATGCTTGTAACCCTTCCCTAGGATCAATCGGGGATCACCAGTGGACCTCTGACAAGGACGGCGGGCTACGATAAGCAACGAGTGAGTGTGATGCTGGCGTGCACTGCAGCGAGTGAAAAACTCCGACCGTGGGTATGGTTCAAGCTGAAGAATGTTCCAAAATGCGACATACCAACAGGTAAGCATAATATCTGGGATTCGACGTTCTGAAACCCGAATCCGCAAATGGCATGCTGGCTATTGTCTGATGTGTGCTTCATTATGGTGCACGCATCGTGGCACAAGCACAAGACAATGGCTGGATGGATGAGGCGGCCGTCAGCACATGGCTCACCAAGGAAATCTTGCCTTTCCCGAACCCGGAGAAGGGGAAAGCGGCCAAGCGTGCGATGCTTGTACTGGACTCATACCGGGGGCACATCACCCCGGGCATGCTAGCGGCGTACCGCACCCACAGCATCGTGCCAGCCATCATCCCCGCTGGCTGCACCCCGCTGCTTCAGTCGCTGGATGTCGCGATCAACCGGGCCTTCAAAGCCGGTGTTCGGGCGCGGTATTGCCGGTGGTTCATGCGGCACGGCATTAACATGCGCACCCCAAAAGGTGAGTTTGGATTCCCCTCGTGCGATGCGTTTGCATGGACCAACAAATGCGCTGCTGTTGCATGTCTTGGTATTGACAGGAAACCTCAAGCGCTCGTGTCGGTCTCTGATTCTGCACTGAGGTTGCTTGTCTTGGTCGTGGCAGGAAACCTCAAGCGCCCGTCGCATGCGTTGGTGCTCCAGTGGATCGACGAGGCTTGGGATGATGTCCCGACCGAGATCATTATCAAGGCCTTCAAGACGTGCGGCATTACCAGTGGCCTTGACGGCACGGAGAACCACCTCGTCCTGGCCCACCAACATGAAAGGAGCACGACCGATGTCTCTGAGGACATGTCGTTGCGGGGGACGACGAGTGACAACAGTGGGTTTGTGGGGAGAGACGCCACCGTAGAGGTAGCAGAGGAGGACCTTGTGGCGGACTTCGAAGAGGACGTGGTGCTCCCTGTAGCTGCTGCGACTCCAGCCACTAATGACCCTTACCCCGACACCCAAAACTACAGAGGTGCAGCAGCAACTGCAGATAAGCTCGTGGAGCCTAAAGAAACCGCCAAGCACGCATGGAAAGTAGCAGGAGCAGCACAAGAAGGCCGCTCATCCCGTGCTAGAGTGACTGATGCAGAATGTGTGACTGCTGAGGGAAAAAAAACACTAAATACGGTATTTTGTCCTAGCTAGACATGTGTGTGCTTCGTATTTGACAATTTGCTGCTAGGAAACTCTACTTTCCATTTAGAAGACACCCCAAGGGGGGGGGTGTCTTATCTTATATAGCCCCATGGGTATTTTATAAACAGAAGTTCCGTTTATAAGAAACCACCCGTTCAAAAGACACTATGTCTTCAATTCAACACTATCTTCTATCCGGGCGATGACAGTAGTACCGTCTTGAGTTGTACGTTGCTCACTCTGTTGCACTTCTTGACTGGTCTTAGAGACTAGACTATTAGTGCCACCCTGAGCTTGCTCTTACACTGCCCCTGATGTCAAAATGAGAACAACGGAATGAATTGGAACACGACCGATGTCTCTGAGGACATGTCGCTGCGAGGGACGACGAGTGACAACAGTTGGTTTGTGGGGAGAGACGGCACCGTAGAGGTAGCAGAGGAGGACCTTGTGGCGGACTTCGAAGAGGACGTGGTGCCCCCTGCAGCTGCTGCGACTCCAGCCACTGATGACCCCTACCCCGACACCCCAAACTACAGAGGTGCAGCAGCAGCTGCAGATAAGCTCGTGGAGCCTTAAGAGACCGCCAAGCACTCATGGACAGTAGCAGGAGCAGCACGAGAAGGCCGCTCATCCCGTGCTAGAGTGACTGATGCAGGATGTGTGACTGCTGAGGGAAAAAAAACACTAAATACGGTATTTTGTCCTAGCTAGACATGTGTGTGCTTCGTATTTGACAATTTGCTACTAGGAAACTCTGCTTTCCATTTAGAAGACACCCCAGGGGGGGGGGGGTGTCTTATCTTATATAGCCCCATGGGTATTTTATAAACAGAAGTTCCGTTTATAAGAAACCACCCATTTAAAAGACACTATGTCTTCAATTCAACACTATCTTCTATCCGGGCGATGACACTAGTACCGTCTTGAGTTGTACATTGCTCACTCTGTTGCACTTCTTGACTGGTCTTAGAGACTAGACTATTAGTGCCACCCTGAGCTTGCTCTTACACTGCCCCTGATGTCAAAATGAGAACAACGGAATGAATTGGACTAGCAAGGTTAGGGCGGGTCCAACTTTGCACATGTACGATAAATTTTCAGCTCAGTTACCACATTTCGGCATGTAACAGAACTACAAACGTACCAGAATCCATTTGACGCGAGACTGTACATGTATGATGACATTACAGAAACGTGCCCGAGGAAGTGCAGAACACGTCCGAAGGTTCACGTCAAACTTGTTTCGCGTCAAACACGCCAAAAGGTACCGGTAACACCCTTTTTCGCTAATTTGTTATTCGCCAAGGAATCCCCCCTCCGTCGCTCGTGCGAAAAACCTCGCTTTATTGGGTAACCCCTCATCCCAGGTACTGTACCCCGCAGCGTTACTGTACATTGTCAAAAGTCCGAATTGAGCACTCAGAACTGGACAGGAAATGTTTGAAGTTCGCCCTGGGGTACAGTCAAGTCTGACTACTGCATTGTCGTAAAAATAACGAAAAATCGGGAGTGTGCAAAGTTGGACCTGCCCTTAGGGTACAAATAGCTAACCGTAACGAGTTGTTACTCCCTGCAACATACCTACCTCACTATAGCCTAGCTGAAATATAGATATATAGTTTAACACCCTAGTTTAGGGGTTATACATTTACATTGCATGTGTTTCTATTGTAGGCCTGATAGAGGTGCCCTATGCAGGGAGGTTTGCATATACCCACTCGTACAATCTCATTCTAGTTAGTGAAATTTCTTTCTAACAACTTCCTGTTTATGCTTGCATTTCATTGTTCGTACAATATTTCCTCCTCTTTCATTGGAATGCAACGAAGCATGCATTGACTTGTAGCAGATATGTGTATGAAGCACGCTAGGTATTAACGATTGACAAGTCACCACCGCCCCACATGGCACTACCGACAAACCAGGACCCCCATGAGCTTGAGAACCAGCATGCAACGAATCTCGAGTCTGCTTTCAAAGCGTGTTTGGAACAAAGCAATATCTCACAGCTAGTCATCAAAACGCAGTGTTACCGCCACACAAGGTCCCCCATGAACTTGAGAGCTGGCACACCGCGGATCTCAAGGTCAAAGAGGGGCGATTGAATCACCCTCAGGTGGCTCAACTCCTTGTCTGCCTCCACTATGTCTAACGCTCGTTGCTGGTCCTGTGGTGAAAAGACGGAGCGAGGGCGAGAGTGGCACAGAGGCAATAGCAGGAAGGGTAAAGAAAAGGCAGTTGATTCAATCGCAGGCGACTCAGCTTTCTGTCTGCATCCACAATGTCAAATGCTCTTTGCTGGTCCTGTGGCGAGGAGGCAGAGGGCGGGTGAGGGGGGGTGTGAGGGAGGCAATGGGGAAAGTAGTATTCAAGGTAAGAAGTAGCCGATTGAATCACCTGCAGGTGACTCAGCTCCCTGTCTGCCTCCGCGATGTCTAATGCCCTTTGCTGGTCCTGTGGCGAGGAGGAGGGGGGCGAGAGAGGCACCGAGGCAAGAGCAGGACGGGTGAAGAAAAGGCGGTTTAGTCACCCGCAGGTGGCTCAGTCTCTGTCTACCTCCACAATGTCTAATGCCCTTTGCTGGTCCTGTGGCGTTGTGAAACGAATGTGCACAAAACAGAGTGGCTGCCCTTTGCCCCTGATGTTGAAACCTCTTGGGCAGTGCAAAATATGCAGTTGATGTTGCCAAAATAAGCACTTGAAATTGCACAGCGGATGTACCTTGCGTTTGATGTTGCAGAATTTGCAGTCAGTGTTGGACTTGGGCAGGATCTGATTCACTATAAGCCGCTTCACCGGCACGCCCTCCACCTCAAGTGATTTCAGCAGGCGGGCGCTCTCGTTAATAGCCATGATTGTGGGGATTGTGACTATAATGAACTCCGTGGCCTTCTGGTCGCGGAAAATCTCCCTCACCATCACCATCCGCTCCTTCAACTGCTCCAGCTTCTCCACCTGCAGTCACATTCGTATTGTCACATTCACAATCAGTCACATTATATTTTTGTTGATTATGGATACAGAGTTACAGTGACACAATGATAGGAGGCACTCTAGTCGACTCGTGAGTCAACTCAACACTGAGCTCTTCCCACTTTCCCCCACATCTCCCCACCTCTTCTCACCTCCCCCCACCTCCACCCAATCCAGCCCACACCTCTTCTCACCTCCCCCAACCCCTGCCCACCCCCCACCCCCACCTCTCCCCATGTCATACTCACCGCTGTGTCAGGCTTGCCGTCCTCCTGCCCAAAGAGAGACTTGACTGCTGACGTGGCAGAGCTGATCTTGTTCTTGAGCTGCGAGCAGGGAAATGAGAACCATGCAGCACACAGGCAGTGAGTGGGGGGAAAGTCTTTTGAGACACCTCAAAAGGGGACCTGACTGCCTGCTGACGTGGCATAGCAGATCTTAGACTTGAGCTGCGGGCACAGAGGGGAGCAATACAACACGAGGGGCAATGAGCATTGGGAGGGTGTCTTTCGAGTCGACCCAGCATTGAAACACACCCTCCCAATGTCGCGGGTATTAGACTTGAGCTGCGGGTAGGGGAGGGGAACAACACAACACGAGCGGAATGGGAGGGTGTCTTTTGAGCCGAGTTAAAACACGATTCAACTGACTGCTGACGTGGCAGAGATGATCTTGAACTTGAGCTTCGGACAGGGCAAGGGAGCGATAGAGCATGGGGCAGTAGAGGGTAGCAGAAGAGGACAAACAAGAAACAGTGTTACATACAGTCTGGTAGAGAAAGAGCTGCTGGCAGGGAAGGGGAACGACTCAACATGAGGGCAGTTGTTGAATAAAACATCATATTAGTAGCCTTGCACCTAGAGCTAGCACTCACTGTGAGAATTTTCCCAATGGAAGCATCCAGGAAGTCGGGGAGGGAAAGGAGCCGAAGTGTGTGCCCCTGGCAGAGAGAATTTGTGGAGGGGAAAACACACACACACACACACGAAGCGAGGAAGAAACAAAGATGCAAAAAGAAGTGAGGAAGAAAGGAAGATGCAAAAAGAAGAAGTGAGGAAGAAGTACAGACATGGCAGGGTCACCCGGAAAAGTGCAGTCACTCAAAGAACGAACATACATCAAGAGAATGTGACAGACTGGAGGAAGGGCTGTGTAGATAGACAACCACGGAGGGAACAGGGGTGGGGATGGGGATGGGAATGGGGATGGGGATGGGAATGGGAATGGGAAAGCACGCTATGGGGCCCACCGTGGGTGCAGTGTCGAAGACAATGCGAGTAAAGTCGCTGTACTCGGGCGATTGCATGAACTGCACCACCTGGTGGAAGAGAGCGTGGTGGAGACGGGAGAGAGGATGTGAGAGGAGTGAGGGGAGGTACGTGGAGGTGAGAGGGGAAGAATACATCAGGGGGCAAACCGGAAAAGGAGAAGACGATGCGAGTGAAACTGGTTGGCGGATGTGCAGTTCATGCAACTTCAGGGTGAGTTGGAAGAGAGTCAGATAATAACCAGTTTCACTGAAGTTGCATGAACTGGATAATAAGGCGCCTGCATGAACTGGATAATAAGGCGCCTGCATATACTGCACAACCACCTCAACAATCACCACTGCCTCATCCACCCCTACTGAGTCCACTTTAAAGATCTCCACCCCACCCTACCTTGGCAATGGCGACAGCCTCGTCCTGCCCCGGCGGTGGCGTATCCAGCAGCTCTCCCAGCTTCCTTCCAACACCACCCCCCTCTCTAGATGCCTCCGTTGAACCCACACAACCTTTCCCCCTCCCCCCCAACCTACCTTGGCAATGGCAACGGCCTCGTTCAGCCCCGGCGGTGGCGTATCCAGCAGCTCTCCCAGCTGCAGCTCTCCCAGCTCAGCTCTCCCAGCTGCAGCTCTCCCAGCTCCAGCTCTCCCAGCTGCAGCTCTCCCAGCTGCAGCTCTCCCAGCTGCAGCTCTCCCAGCTGCAGCTCTCCCAGCTGCAGCTCTTCCAGCTGCAGCTCTCCCAGCTTCAGCTCTCCCAGCTTCAGCTCGCCCACCCAGAGCTCCCCTACCCCCGCTTCCTTCCACCCGTATCCTTCTCTCGCCCCCTCCCTTCACCCCAAATCTCCCCCCAACCTACCTTGGCAATGGCAACGGCCTCGTCCAGCCCCGGCGGTGGCGTATCCAGCAGCTCTCCCAGCTTCAGCTCGCTCAGCTGCAGACAGCAAATCGGCGGAGAGAGCGGGAGGCGGGAGAGGAGGAAAAGATTTCTAAGTTGACTAAAACGATCCACGAGGGGAAGGGGGAAAAGAAGAGGAAGGGTGAGAGAATGCAATGGTGTGGCATTGCGATGGGGATCCAAAGCTGTCCAGATCACGCACCTGGTCAACCCAGCCGCCCAGCCCCACGGAGTCCATGAAGTCCTTCACGCCCTTGCCGCCATCCTCCATCCACCCACGCCACCATATAAGATAGCTTCACATGGTTATCCGCGTTATAGAGTGCATAGCATTCACAACACGAACCTGGTCCACCCAGCCGCCCAGCCCCACGGAGTCCATGAAGTCCTTCACGCCCTTGCCGCCATCCTTCCCTGTTGCTGTCCGAAACTCCTCCCGCGCCT